CACCACCGTTCTGTAATCTATCAACCGCAATCAGACCAGACATATTCCGCCCGAAAACGCACCTCACATAACTTTTTCATCACTAAAGTGATCGATTGTATAACTCAAAAATTCAAGAAAGCGTTCACTGAAGAAGAATTCATTATTCTCAACGGAATGATACAAGATCGAAGTCAAAACAGCTACAAACCCCCATGACATGAACAAATCAAAAGCCAACCCAATATGGAACGACTGGACTGGCTGAGAAGGTGAACGGCACGAACAAAAGGCAGATGAAGTGTTTTTGCGAGTGCTATTGAAGGTGATGCAAAAAAATACAGCGAAGGAATAATGAGAAATATTCGTAACGATTCAATGGGTTGTTCACGTTCCCATTCCACATCCCACACACCCGACATCTCTAAGGCGTTCAAAATCTAAAAATCACTCTCACAATGAAGCGTGAAACGACGAACAGGACACTCATTCCAACAAAAACTTCATTCTAAGACATCATCGATATTATCACTACAAAATTTTCCAACACATAAATCTGCACAGATCACAGGATTATTTTGATGAGAACCATCTCAAGTATATTCCAACAGAATACATTCGAAATTTTTATATTCCAAAATTCACTTCAGACGAATATACATCAAATTTTCATCAATTTCTTCTGAATACACTAATAACCATGAACCGAAAAAAAACGTCAGAATGTAATACTTACAAGTTCTTTGTATTGTTCACTATCACCATTTTCACCAATAATATTGGATGCCTTTACAAGATTGTCCATATTAACACAGCTATTCTGCGCATTACATCGAAATCGTCGTTCGTCATCGAACAAGAACGACCCGTTTAGGGTGGACAGCGATGAAAATGCTGTTTCTAATCGACTGAAATACTGATAATCGCAGCGAATCACCGATACTACTCAGCTCCGTCCATTCAACTCTACGAAATTAACTCACTGCGCGCTTCAACCTCCCCTAAAATTCTATCCTAACCTCTATCAATCTGCAAATCGTATGCAAACTTCAGAAGATGCTCAATGATAAACTCAAATACACGGTAATATTTCTTCATCCCGCATATCACCCACACATAAATAATGATCAACTGATCGCAATTCGTTATAGCCACAAGTAAAGAAATCTAATCATATGAATTTTTCAAAGCAGCCTATAGAACG